AAATTGGAATTATGTAAATTTCGTGGTCTTGGATAATTTTGGCCAAATTTGTAATTCTGGCCGAAATTAACATCACGTGACACCGGAAAAATAGTTTAGCCACTGGGTAAAAAATTTTTTATCGGCTGGCATGAAAATTTAATGTTACACAATTTGTAATTCTGGCCGGCGTTATGAATTCTGGCCAGAATTATTGCCGATCATTTGTAAATCCAATCCGGTTTCCGGTTTCTATCCGGATTATCTGATCCGGATTTAAAATCCGGGTCAATCCGGATATAATCCGGATTTTTTTTTTGTGTAATCCGGATGACGGTTTTCATCCGGGTCGAAGCACTAGGAAAGAGCTCATCAACCTTACTTTCCTATGCAAAAAAGAGAGAATACCTGATGTGATATTTTATACATGATGTTATTACTTTATTGAGAAACAAAAAAAAAAATGGATGGAGTGGCGTAAATTCAAAGTCATTTGCTAATAAATTTGTGGAAAGGCTAGTTGCTCTTCTCTGGTATATTGATCCACACAGAAAGAAACTAATTGCTCGGTTATTAAAATTACCAGATATATTCAATGAGTTAGAGCAATATCAACATAATGAAGTTATAATAAATTTTATTTCACTGGACATCATAAAAAGGAGCAACTCTCACATGAAAAACTTGAGAAACTGGTAAAATCATTAGAATTGTCTATTGAACAGCCTTGGGCAAATGATGACAAATGGATAGATTTTATTATTCAAGTTCTTTTACTGATTAAAAATATTAATAAGTATATCATTTATTTACAAGAGGTTAATCAAAAAATGAATACAATACATAATAGTAATGTCTCAACACATAATCCTGGTTGTGATTTAATGGTATATACAATTGAAGCATTTGATAGCATTCATTCCAAATATGAAGAACTCTCAGATTTTTTATTTGAAAAAGATTCTTACGAGTTTTTTGATCTTGATGAATATACGTCACATAATGTAATACAAAAATACAATTACATCAAGAATTTACAACTTAATGTTCCTGTGACAATTTATCGGTATTACCAGGGCAATTATCTTAGAACTATTAACTATATTTGGAAAGTTCCATTAAGAAATGATCATTGATCAGAAACAGAAAATACGTGTATAATAGCAGTAATTAATAAAAATTTACCAAAATATTATACACGTCAGATGCGCAAAAATGCTTTAAATAAAGTAAGTTTTTTTTATACAATGCATTACTAGTATTACTATAATTAAATTTTATATAGGTGAAACTAATGCAATTTAATTTCTTTCAAGTATTCTATTTTTAAAAAGGTTACACCAACTGTACTTTGAACTTTATATTTTGACTTAACTGGAGATGCCTCAACAACAAATAATGTAATTAGCAAAGAAATTGAAGAATGTTTACGTATAATGATGCAACTTGAGGATCCATTAATTATTGTTAATCTGCACGCTAATAATAGATTTAAAGGAAAAAAGTTTGATATTTTCTGAGATGAAATGGGAGCATATTTTAACGAAATAGATATTCTAATTAAATAAAATGTATTTCTATTTAGATTTTTATTTAAAAATTAAATAAATATTTTTTATTTGCCCGTAGAATGCACCTGCAGTTGATGATAGATGGCAATAAGAAATTTTATATATGCCAATTGCAATTTCAATTCATGATCTTCATGAAATTATTATACATCGATTAGAGGCTAAATATGATTTACCACTACCATGTAACATCAATATTCCATCTATTGAATGGATTCGCTTCCAATTTTGGCCAACTAATCCTACTTCTACTCGAGCAATGCATTATACTGGTCAGTTCAATATTAAATATCAAATTCAAGCTAGACAATTGCGTAAAAATCATCCAGATGCACACTATTGTGCTTGTCTTTTTCATTATTTGCGTGAATTTGCCATCCTTTATCACAATTATATTTGTTTTATTGCAGCAGATGATAAGCATAAAGTTCCAATCAGAGAGGGTGTTGCTACATCAACTGGTGTACATAATAAGAAAAGTTTAGTTAGTACAAATACAACATTAGCAGCAAGTGCGTGATCATGACTTTACAAAATTGTCCCTTACTCCTTCAGTTATTTTTTTATTGATGTTCCAACAACTATCGAGGATTCTTTTTATTATAGAAATGTCTTTGTTTCATATAAAAATACTGTTTTTCAACCCAGCAATGCAATTAGACATGCAACTGAATTTTTCAATGCAATTAATGCAATTCAAACACATTATATTTCAACTATCCCACCCATTCTATGTCTTTATACTGATGGTGGTCCTGAATATTGAACTACATTTGGTTCAGTTCAAATTTCTCTTATTTGTTTATTTCTTCATGGTGATTTTGATATGTTTATTGCATTACATACTGCGCCATATCACAGCTGGACAAATCCTGCAAAGCGAATCATGTCTATTATTAATTTGGAACTTCAGGGAGTTGCAATTATGAGAGATATAATGAGTACAGAATTGGAAGATATATTTAAAAAAGTTGACACATTAGAAGAGATTCGTGCAGCTGCAGCTAAAAATGAAGATCTAAAAAATGGATTACATGATTGTATACTTAATATTCAACAGTTGTTACATTCGCGAACTGAAAGATTGGTATTATATGAAAATCCTTTTTGTTGTTATGATTCTGCAAGTAATCATGATATTGATAATTTTTTTAAGGTATTTTATTTAATTTTAAAATATTAATTCATATTACTGTATATTTATTAACATATAAATTATTACACAAATTATTCTTGAAATTGATAAATCATTAAATGTATGCGAAACAACAGCAGAAGTATTATCAAAGAAAAAGGAACTTCAAGAATTTCTTAAATCACATTGTAGCATTCGTCATTATTCATTTAAAGTAAAATTTTATTGCTTTTTTTTGCATTTTGTATTTTTATTATATATTGAATTCAATGAATTTAACAATTCTGTTTTATTATCTATAGATTAAAAAATGTAATGATGTTAATTGTAATGTTTGTAAACAAGTTCGGCTTCCTCTGCATATTTTTGAAAATATAGATTTTTTATCAGATCCTATTCCATTAAAATGCAAGTATATTCTTTTTATATTATATATTTTACTTTTATTTAAATCATTATTAAGTATAATTTTTAGGAATTGTCAAATTTTCACCGGTGGTAATTTTCACCAGTCATGTAATCATGTGATTACTTATATTACACAACATAACTTATATTTATCATATTTATGAAATTTGTTTTTGCTTTGCTTGCTTTACTTTTCTTTTAATATTTTACGTGTTTTTAATACAAAAAATATTACTTTTGTTACACTATTAAACCCATAGGAGTATATTTCAATTTCATAAAGTTAGATATAATATTTATGAAAAAAAAAACACATTTAAATATTTGTTTTTCTGTTTACCAACTTTAAAGCGTAATTTCAACACTTTAGTCAAATGAAATCAGCATTCTTTATTAAGTGAAAGTTGTTCAGCGAGGTTGAAACTAGTTGTATATCAATTTTCATGAGTGTAAGTTTAATACTTGTAGAGAAAATCACGTTTTTCATAACGGTACTAACTTTCAGATTTTTTTTTTCCATTTGTGAACTTCAGAGCGTAATTTCACCACTTTAGTCAAATGAAATCGTCTTTCTTCATTAATTGAAAGTTGTTCAGCGAGGTCGAAACTAGTTGTATATAAAATTTCATGGATGTAAGTGTAATACTTCTGATGAAAATCGCATTTTTCATAATGATACTAACTTTCGAATTTTTCTTTTTTATTTGTTAATTTCAGAGTGTAATTTCACCATTTTGGTCAAATGAAATCGTTGTTCA